GGACTTCGATCTCCCCCGTTGGCACACCCCAGTCCATGCACGACAACCTCTCTTCCTCGGCGCAGGCGGCCCAGTCGGCGGCACAGGCGTCGTACATCTACCCCCAGGGCCCGCCACCACAAGCACCGAATCGTCTGCCGCCCATCCACCAGCCGCCTTCAAGCTCTTCTAGGCAGCCCCGCATCAACCAGCTCCTCGATGAAGATCAGCAGTATAGTCTCAACACATCCCCGTACTCCACTGGTGGACTGGCGCGCAGTCTCTCGCTGGGGAATTCGTCGAACGCTTCATCGAGGGGACGCCGGCATCATCTTCAAGATGACCTGGAGGGTGCGTTCCATGTAGACGGCGACACGAGCCAGAGACACACACCGCAATCTCTCTATCCGCCGCCCATTGCCTACCCCGGTGCTCCGCAGGGTGGAGGATCCAACTCGGCCGGGTCTGCGGGTGCTGCTGATCCGTATCAGGATGCCTATTACGCCGGTCCTACGATCCACACGCCCAAGAGAAGCCAAACGCAGCACGATTCTAGCTCGTCGCGGGCCCCCCGGTCCCCGCATAGGGCTCCGCAATCCAACAATCTGCTCGACCCGTATTCGCCACAGCAGTACTCCTCGCCGTCATCGAACTCTTACCCGTACTCGCCCACGACGGAGCAGAAACCGTTCATCGGAGGTGCGTATCAGACAGGCGAGCAGAAGCCGTTTGCGGGGAGTGGCTACCAGACGACGGACCAGAAACCGTTCGCCACGAGCGGTTACCAATCACAAACCCATTCGCGCTCGCACTCGCAGGTCAAGCGGGAGGCGGTTTCGCCGCCAGTACCCGCGTATTCGCCACAATCCGGTGGACCGCCTTCTCTGTACTCGGGCGGCTACTCCACGGATACCACCAGTCCCGCGCCATCTGCGAATAGTCTATCGGCGCAACGGCACCCCCGCCAGACATCCGTGTCGCAACCGGCGACGCCTTTGTCGTTCAGTCACTCTCCGCACGGCTCGGCCCAGTTTTTCGCACAAGAACACCAACCTATGACTGTGGAACCACCACCGCCGAAGCGCAGAGCGTCTGGCCTGAGACGTATACGTGATCAACGGGACTTGAGGCCATTCATTCCCCAGCCGGTTGGACGACGGGTAGACGCCAGCGGGACCGTGATGACCGTGCGTGTCATTATTAGACAAGCCCTATCGCCGGATGCTGATTATACGACCGCCCGCAGCCATTGAAGCAGCTGACGACGAATATCGTCGAGACGTACCACATCTGCAACCCGCAGTTCAAGTACGAGTCGACACATAACCCTCGTCGCGTTCTCACGAAGCCGAGCAAACCGGTGCACAATGACGGATATGACAACGAAGATTACGATTACATCCTCTATGTGAACGACTGGCTGGGGACGGACGACGGTCACAAGTGCGTCTATCTGCCAATGTCCGGCGCAGAAATGGGTTAACCTTGCTTTCACGTGTTAGGTACCTCATTCTAGACATCCTGGGTCAAGGGACGTTCGGCCAGGTAGTGAAATGTCAGAATATGAAGACGCACGAGGTGGTGGCGGTCAAGGTGGTCAAGAACAAACCCGCGTACTTCAACCAGAGTATGATGGAGGTCACGATACTCGAGCTGGTGCGTTGTGTGCTTCATCGTCATCCGCGTATATGCTCACCTCAGTTAGCTCAACAACCAATGCGACCCGAACGACGAGCACCACATCCTCCGATTGCGAGACTCGTTCATCCACAAAAGCCATCTCTGCCTCGTCTTCGAGCTGCTGTCTTCGAACCTCTACGAGTTGATCAAGCAGAACCAGTTCCAAGGCCTGAGCACGCAGCTCGTCAAGGTCTTCACTGCGCAGTTGCTGGACTCGATGACGGTGCTCAAGGAGGCGCGGCTCATCCACTGCGACTTGAAACCCGAAAATATCCTGCTGAAGTCGTGAGTATTTCGTTGGTGTATGCACATGCGTGCTGTGCCTGAACGTTCTTATGACTTCTTCAGATTACAATCGCCACAAATCAAGGTGATTGACTTCGGTTCGGCGTGTCACGAGCGACAAACCGTCTACACCTACATTCAATCACGGTTCTACCGTTCGCCGGAGGTGCTCCTCGGCATTCCGTACACCGCCGCAATCGACATGTGGTCCCTGGGCTGCATTGCGGTGGAGTTGTTCCTCGGCTTGCCCCTCTTCCCGGGTACGAGCGAGTATAACCAAATCACGCGCATTGTGGAGATGCTAGGGTACGTATATGCGGCAGCGTGTCGCGCCACATCACTTATCTTGTGTATTAGGTTGCCACCGCAGTACATGCTCGACATGGGGAAGCAGACTAGCCAGTTCTTTGACACGATCGTCGACCAGTTCGGGCACAAGAAGTACCGCCTGAAGAGCCTGGAGCAGTACTCACGGGAACACAACACGAACGAGCAGCCCGGGAAGCAGTATTTCAAGGCGACCTCGCTGCCCGAGATCATCCGACAGGCACCGATGCCGTCGTTCAAGTCGACATCACGGCAGCAGCACGAGATCGAGAAAGGTACGTGGGCTGCGTTCGGTGCCCTGTCCGGGTTCTCAAACTATATTTCGGTGCGGCAGAAATGAACAACCGTGCGGCGTTCATCGACTTCGTCCAAGGTCTGCTCAACATGAACCCGATCGAGCGGTGGTCCCCGCAACAAGCGCGTCAGCATCCGTTCATCACGTCAGAGAAGTGGACGGGCCCTTGGAGCGTGAGTGGTTCTATACTTTGTTGCGCTTCTCCCCGCCGAACTGAGCTATCCTTGTCCTGCAGCCCCTCTCGGCCTCGACCCCTGCTCCGTCTCAGAGCGCGCCCGGGACGTCGTCCAACTCCAACTCGAGTGCGAACCAGAACGCCGCTAATGCGAAGCGGCCGTACGGCGGGCTTGTGCCGTCGCAGCCGAAGGGGACACGCGCATACCAGGACGCGGCGTCGTATAATCAGCACCTGGCACAGCACCAGGCGTATACGGCACAGGCACAGGCGGCTTCTCAGGCAGCGCAGAACGTCTTCAGGAACCCCTATCTGCAGCCGGCGTCCGCGCAGTCCCACTCGTCGTCGTACAGCGGGTCGCAGGAGGGAGCGAGCGGCAACAACTATCCACCGCAAGCTCAGCAGTATGCCTCGCCCCCCACGCACACGGCGGGACATCGCGGCCTAACACACCAGACATCACACGGGCACCTGAACGTCAACACGGACGTCCCGCACTACGCCGGGCAGTCGACAGGAGGGGGAGGGTTTACGGTGCCACAGCAGCTGAACCCAGCGCCCCCAGGCCAGTCGTACTACGGCAATGCCCGCGCGCGGTCAAACACGATCCACAACGGAATGGACAACATCCCTCCCGCGCTCGCCCGCCTGCAGCACATGAACCAGGACGTTATCGGCGGGCGCAAGGCGCTCACCCCAGTCCTGAAGCGCGACGATGCGCTGAAAGAGTGGGAGCGGAGACAGCAAGGCAAAGCTGCCGCGGCGCAGCCGTACCCGCAGCTCGAGTTCCTGCAGCAGCAGGCCGAGATCGCGGCGGCGCAGGGTCTGACGAGCTGGAGCCACGGCGGTGGCGCGGCGGGCCGGTATCCGCCCCCGACATCCAACCTCGCGCACTCGTACCAGCCGAACGCGATGGTCGTCGACGAGGACCGGCGGGACGTCATCCTGTCGAACGCACGGAACGCGGCGCACTCGGACCCCGCGAGCAACCTCTTCGCGTCGCCCGGCGGCAGCGTCATCCCGAGCCCACCACAAGCCTACGCCAGCAACGCGTCGTCGTACAGTGGGCGGGACGGCGGGTGGTTGGGCGCGCGGGCGCGGGTGCGGGTGCGGGCGCGAGGCCGGCGCGGGTGCGAGGCAGGCAGGCGACGGGGGAGGTGCGAGATGGCGCACGGGTCGGTCGGCGGGGCACGCGGGCGGCGCATGTACATACGTAGACAGGACAATATATTTCGTTCGTTGACCCACGAACTGGTGCTCGCGCG